CACATTGCCCAGACCATACTGGTCTATAGGGTTTAACCAGCAATCTTGTGAAATAATTTCAGGTAGACTAGGGGTACTGAAAAATGTGTTCAATGTTTAAAAGACAGTGGCTTCAAGTATACAGTACATCTGTGCTGCACAAATATCTGTGGACATCTTTAGAATCAGAACACAGGACTCAAGAGTTTCTTAAAATAACAGAATGGCAAAAATGAAAGAAAACTGACTTAATGTTAGTGTTACATTAAAACAATAATTATAGCAGGTCTTGGACCTGCATTTAATTAAACTAATTATTTTCTCATTTTACTTTTACAACATTTTTAGTAGCAGGATCAGAAAAAATAACAGCATTCAGCAATGTTGAATCATGCTCTTTTACCTGTAGGTGAAAAGGTGAAAAGATAATAGTATTTTGATTGGTAAAATTTATCATTAAGAAAATAGTCACGTATGTGTGACAGGGAACATTGTGAATGACATACAGTACAGGTATAAGAAATTGAAGTAGAGCTAAATAGGGGTGGTTCTGTGTGAGAAATGGAGCTGTACCCTCACTAGGGTTTGATCATTGTTCTTTATAGGTAAATCTGATTCCAGAGGTACAGTATATAGAGAAAAAATCCAAATATCAGAAAAAAATCAAATATCAGGGTAAAATACAAAGCAAAATAGCTTGATCCAATCTAGAAAATAACACATACAGTATCTGTTTTTCATAAGCAATTGAGAAAAAGTTTTAAACTTTCGATGACATCCTGAAAGGCAGACTGATCAAAATTAAACTGGTAAACTATCAAGAGCCAAAGAATGCAATGGCCTTGGAATTGATGAAGTTACAGGCTTACAGAACCTTATGAAATGTCAGGCAATTTGGCACATTATTGAAACTTTTTTTTACCTGGATATACTAATAAATGTTTGTGGCAGCTGTGTCATATGGCTTTTCAATGCTTTAGCCCAAGAATAAATAAATTCCTGTATATAATACTTTTGAACCTAAAGGTTCAAAAACACTTTACATGTAGAAGGGGACCTTCGTCCACCAATGAAGAGCAGCAGCCACATGGGGAATGTGCAACAGCCATTATAGATCATTACCCCCCTCCCCCCAAGTAGCAGATCAAGGAGAAAATTGGGGAAATTGTTTCACTAATTAAATGAAGGTACCATTAAATTAGACTAGGTTGTGCAAGCACAGGCTGGAATTTAGCCAGGACACCAATGTTAACTTGCCTACTCTTCCAAACACTATCATGGGATATTTAATGACAAAGTTGTTAGAACCTGAGTTTAATGTCTAATCTGAACGATGAAACCTTCATTCCTTCATTACTGACTGCTCCTTCACCATACTGGAACATTGAACTGGAAATTCTAGTCTAGAGAAAACAATGCCACCTAGTGGGTCCGTGCAAGCCTGTCAAAGCAGCAATCTAGTTTTCCTTGGAGGTCTTCTGTCCCAATACTGACCATACCCAACTTGGTTATCTTCTGAGATCTAACAAGATCTGACAAATAGAATAGATTCATGGTAAAGACTAAAATTGCATGCAGCTAAAAACTTCATCTTACAGGAATTAGAAAGAGTTCATTTACTCGTTGTTTTAGGATTGCTAGCCTATATTTTATTTACTTTAATTTAGAGATTTTTATTAATTTAGTTTGCTTTATATAGTGCTTCATCTCTTCTATTAGTTTGGCACTCCAATCTTGATTGTAAAACTTAGTGTTCAGTTGTAAAAGTATTATGTCATAGATCTACTGGTACATGATGTACAGTACTACTGTATACTGTATGTTATCCACCACGCCTTTTTTTGGGATCACTGGGGAACCTTTGCAAGAAAATGTTATTACATTACACATAATATCCTATACAATATTTTAAAATAAATTAATATATGCTATTATTTGTATTAAGGACTAGACATGGGCGAATTTAACATTTGTGAATTTACTTACTTTCAATTCTGTCTGGTTGATGGGGTCTTGGATGAAAAAGAGCAGAGTGGAATGAAACTGAAATGAAGGCTGCTAAGCACAACTTTCAAATTAGCATTGCAGCAGGCTAGGGTTGTGAGACGAATATAGATAGTGAGAGAGCCTCACTCTATCCCCTGCACAAGTACCCACTACCCAGCATCCTTATCTCAGCATTGTCTTGGTTTTTATAACGATGTTTCATTTCAGTGGGGCATGCTAATCACAGCAGCAGAGACAGAGACATATATTGTGTTATTTTAACTGATGACAATGAATTTGTGATAACTGTTGTTTCCTTTTAATCAAAATCAAATCAAATGTTAATTACCATACTGTATATAGCCCCTTTTTTGCAAATGTGCAATACCAGCTGCCTAACAATTAAAGTCAGACAAATTAAAATAACAATGAGTAAATTGATGGAATAGCAACATAATTAAAGAAGAAAATTAAAAATCAAAGTAGAAAGTTAGTTATCTATATTAACTTATAGCCAATGCATAGTACTTTAATTATCATATAAAGGATGGTTACTTATGTCTTTTACCCAGAAGTACTACTGTATATACAGTACTGTTGTACATTTTGCAAAGGTATTGGGGTTATACAGTAGACTATACAGTAGAATAATTTGATTATATTCTCCGTAGAATAGTTTGATTATAAGGTAGAATAATTTGACTATTCACAACTGTTCTCTGCATCAAGCCCTTGCAAATGTCAAGACTATATTGTATTTTATTGTACATATAGCCTGCTCTTATTTTCTTGTGACCTATATTGTCTTATACTTTGAACACAGCATACATTAGCCAGTATTACAGAAGCATGAGATCATCCTTCACCTGGACAGGTCTCAAGACAGATATGAAAAAGAAAACTTTTTCCTGACTTAAAGAGAACTGATGCAGATGCTTGAGTGCTTCAGGTTCCTGTGTGTAATGAAACATGTCTTGCCACTTCAGGTCAGCCTTCAGGTGTAGCATTTTCATATCCATTTGCATATAAGAGAAAATTAATCACACAAAGCTTTCAGACAGATGTGATTCATGCTGTCGTCTGAATCCACCAGCAGATGAAAAGCTTGCTTGCGACACTAATCTGGAGATAAATCTCTCACTACTCTGTAAGATGTTCCAGAGCTAATTGTAACATTTTCAATGTTATTAAAAATTGTTAATTGAAAACAATTACTAGGAAAAGCTGATGACCAATTAACTGATTGGCAAACAATTACTAAGGGTTATACTAATTTGGAATGCCATGTAAAAGTTTTTTTTTAGTTCAACTTATTCAAAGAGGAGATAAAAATAAAAATAATACACAGCAAAAATATGTTGTAGACCATTGCCTCATGCTTGAACAAGGACATGACTGAAAGCCATGTATGATCAATTATTAAGTACTGTATATTCATTTATTTTAATAATATTTAACAAGTTCCCAGATTAATACACTGACCAAGCATAAGCTTTTACTTAAAATGGATCCCAGGAGAGGAAGAAAAATAAACATTCCTTCATTAAAAACAGTTCTGAAATTTAAAGTTAATGGAGGACATCATAGGTATTTGTGTGCGGGTATCCGAGTTTAAAGATGTTAGCACAATGAAAGCAATAGTGTTCACTGGATCACATGCTCATGAAAAACACATTATCAATGTTGTAAACTGCATTAATTTACACTTTTTCTTTGTTATCTTGTATGCATGCATTTGGATGTGAATAGTATATAGTGTCTGTTAGAAACGTTGTGCAGATAAGAAATCTTATATTGATGCATTGATCTGTAGCACTATTTCTTTACCATCTGCATCTATCTAGTAAAAGTAAGCCACTTGTCCTAGTGAGGGTCACAGCAAGCCTGAGACCTACCTGGAAGCAAACTGCACAAGGTTGGATTGAGAGCTCATAAATACTTTTTTTTCCTGGGCAGGATAGTAGTATATTGCAGGGTAGTGAAGAACAAGTCAATTTAGAATAGCTGATAAATCTTAGCTCTCATATCTTTGGGAGGTGGGAGGAAACCATAGCACTCACTGAATTCCCGTGTTAACGAGGCTGGAATCAAACTCTGGACCCCAGAGCTGCGAGTCAGCACTGATAACTGCTCACCACTACGCCACCCTAACTCGCCAAAATCATAACAAGTCAATATTTATGCGTGTCTCTTCATTTGTTATCATATTTGATCAGTTCTGCTGGAAGCTTTCAATGACTTACCATTATGCAAATATGTCTGTCTTGTGATCTGTACAGTACAGTATATCACAGAGCACTGTTGCTGAGAAACATCAATAGTATCACTTTCCACTAGGCCTCTATTCAGAGGTGCATGCAAGGACAGAAGTGACACTAACAGCAAGTATGGCTTTTGGTTCTTTGGTGCCTGCTGTCTGTAGAGAATTCCTCTTAATACCAGTAGAAAGAACTGTCATCTAAGACCCGGTATTGGCAATACTTTGCACGATGACTAGTCTTCGAGACTAAATGATATTTTATTGTCATACTGTAAAGTATATCACCCAAAAAATAATCACGCTTTATGAATACATGCCTGATAGCTTCTGATCAAATCAATCACTACGTATCTGAAACCTTTGGCTAATAACTTAAGGTATGCAGTGTTTTACCAGCTTTTACTTAAATTTCACTGTCTAAATGTCACTTGCAGGTTTACAAACCTCCCCAAACTCTTATCATCGTGTTTCAAGACAAATACATATATGTGGAATATAGCTGGTGCACAGCAACCCTGTTCACTATTGTTTGAAAGAATATGTATCTTTTAAAATAAGACCATAAGTGACAGACAAACAATAGAACTGGACAGTTTATGCACCAGTTCATCTGTCACTTGAACTCATTCAAAAGTCCACTGATGTAATTGTAATGCAGCATGTTCACCCCCTAAGAGGATGATCCTGGACTGTGTATACTATCAATCAGAAGAAATTTCATTGTCGAGCTTCTGCCAGATTCATCCTCATACTCTTCTTCCCTCTCTTCTTCCAGACAACGCATCCCAGTCCTCCAAGACATCTGTTAGCATCCGAATTCTGGATGTGAATGACAACCCTCCTGAACTGGCCACACCTTATGAAGCCTCCATTTGTGAAGATGCCAAGCCTGGTCAGGTAGGTGCACAGACAATGAGCGTTGACCTCCATATCACAGAACAGTACAGGAAACAAAAACAAAATAAAGTTTTTCCACCGACCACTGCTAAATTGGGAACAGATGTGTGACACTGCTTTTAAAACACCATTCCCTAGCGTCTAATACTGTACATCCTTTTCTGAAACCACTACAAACTATAAGCCAAATTTCAGTAATTTGAGCTCTTTTACATTTAATTTACTATGAATTTCTTTCTTGTATTTTTGTATTTTTAAGAAACAACTCCCACCAGTTAGAAAAACATATTTACTGTATACTGTATAATATTTTTCTCCTCTCACCACAACTGAATGACACTAATTTAAGTTGCTTTATAAGCAACCATAACCAGCTTTTACTCTCTAGAAAATATATGTGTAATACAGTCCTTTTAAACTCATAATAGTTGAAAGGTCTCAGAAAACTCTGTTTTCATCCAATGCTTTTAAAAGCAGAGTAGAACAAACTGTCCTTTCCATAACAAAGCAGTTGAGCTGAGAAACTGGTAATAATGCCAGTGGATATTACTGAGTATCATCTCCCACACTTAAGAGGCCTTGGAATTGAATTTTATGAAAGAAGTGTCTGTCACTGTAGTTGCCATGGGACTGACCGGGTTTTCACGATTGTTTTGCAATCAAAAAGCTCAATTGTACTAGAGTGGTTAGGAGAAAGGTTGGAAAGGTTCAGACCTTTACACAGGATGAAACACTAAATTCATATTATTCTGAAATGTTTCTTTGGCTTGTTTATGCTGTCTTTTTCAGGTAGACTATAATAAATGCTGAAAATAAAAGTATTAGAATCATGCACTGTGCTATCTGAAACAACTGGCAACAACATTCTCTTTCAGTATATCCTCAGACCTTGCTTTGCCTCAGTATTCGCTAACATAAAACATTTTCTAATTTTAATTTTCAGCATCCATTGAAAAATACAAGGTACAGTACATGTAAGCAAGAGTACAATCTAGAATAATGTATACAAGCTGTTTAAATTATTTTCCTTAATATTATATAATATGCTGTAAAGTACTTGGAATATAAGTTACTGTAAAAGTAACAGTGTTGCTTTCTGTACGTAATTGCTTAGGATATTTTGAGCCACCTTCACAAGAGTTACGTTCTGATGATTCCAAAATAAAGGGCCCTTTGAGCACAATATTTTTCTTACAATTCTCTTTCAAGTGGCTGCTGGGCAGTGTTGGGGATAATTACTTTTAAAACGTGATTAAGAAATTAAGAAATGTAGATGTCTGTAAATGTTCAAGTATAGTTCCTTTCAACTTCACGTTGATTAAGAAAAAAAAAATCCCTTACATGTGGAAGTATAATGGATTAACTGTAATGGATTTCTTTTTAAATGTAACTTTCAGCATGTTTGGTATTTTATCATTCCATCCATTTTCTACTGTAACTGCTGCTTCCAATTCAGGATTGTGTAGGAGCCGGAGCCTAGCCCAGTAAGCAACAGGCACAAAGCAAAATTCACGCTTGACAAGATGCCAGTCCATCACAGGGAACACATGGACACAGAAACGAACACACTCATACTAGGCCCAGTTTTCCCAGATGACAATTTATCCTACCAGTTTGTCTTTGTACTGTGGAACGAAACCAATGCACCCCAGGAACAGAACCCAGGGCCACAGAGTTGAAAGGCTGTAATATTAACAGCTGCCACCGTCCCATCCACATGCCATCCACATGGTGAGCAAGCCCATTCTGCCTAAGCAGCACCCAGTCAAGGGACAGTTTTTAGCTTGCAGGTTAACTCTTGACTGCTGGAATGGCAGACAAGATGACGGTCTTTGGTTCTGTGATTGGTCTTTTGACCACCGTCATTAGGGAATGCAATAGGACCCTTTCTTAACAGGTTGATCTGTTCTTCCAAGGGCAAGCATGTCTTGGAGTATTACAAAGTCAGTCAAAATAAAGGAACTTCAAACCATAATCTCAATGTGTTCAACATATAAAAGGTGTTACAATGTTTCTGTTAGGACCCTTTCTTCGGTGTCCAGTTTAAAACTGCAGGTTTTAGGTTTGTGTTGTTTTTAAAATATATATATAAATCTTGAGGCAGTTAAAGGAAAACAAATTCTTGATCTCAATTGCCATGAAGAAACAACACATTGTAAGATCGATGAACATCCTTGGGGCTTCTTGCTTGGCAGAGTTCTTCAGATTTTTTTTAATTGCTCATGGAAGGAAAGTGCTGATTTCATGCATCACTTAAATAAAACAGATCCAGAGATGATAAGAGTGATGCAGGCTAAATGCCAGTCAGAGCCAGTCTAGCATGGCGGCAAAGTGCCAGTGTGGATACAGCACATGCTGTCCCTGGTTTGACAGCTGACTCCTGGAAGGGCAGTGTGCCAAGGGAATGCTCTTTTGCCTGGTTTGGCACAAAGTCCCTAGTGGCAAGGGCTATATTGTGGAAAGTAGAATTTTCTACTCAATATTTCAGCACCTTTTTCTGGAAGGTAATATATCAAAGCTTTGTAGTGACATCCTAGCAGATTCTCATTGCATTTTGGTACTTTTTAGATTTTAAATTCAGAGCTTAAGGAAATCCCTGCTGTCTTTAATTTTTAACAACTTAGTGGAATAATTAAAAGATCATAAGCTGTACTGTATATTTTTTACAACTAAATTGTTTATATTGTGACTCAATTGTAAGACTCACAAGATCCTTATTTAAATTAAAAAAGAGTTATTTCTTTTTGTACTCTTAATTTAATTGCAGAGTACATAGTATTTATATTACATCTGCCATGGCTAAATCTATCAGTTTAGTAACACCTACCTTTTTAAAACTAAAGCTAGAAAGCTTTTATGCATATAAATTAAAGATATGTCACTACATTTGTGTGATACATTTAGCTTTTTCCCCTTGTTTTTCCCTTGTAGATTTACAGAGCTAATTTTGTACTATAGAGAATAAGAATAGATTCTAAACTGCTCTTTTACCAGTTACTGTAGTGACTATTATAAGCACTTCCTTTCCTTCATGCTTGTTTTTATTTCATTGTAGCAGAGCAGGTGTTGGGGCTTGGGTGAATGAACCCAATCCCTTTCCTTCTCCTTTTATTGTCCCAGATGGAAAATTTTCCTTTGCAGACAGGCAAGAGACATAACGCAATACACCATTAATTTAACACAAAATGAATCCATTAACAAATAAGAAACTTACATGTATAGTGTGATGAAAAAAATAATAATAAAGTAAACTATACAATCAATTGTCCTTGTCAAAGCAAGTTAATAGTGGTGGGAATAAAGGAAAATGTAGTTTTGCTGCAGTTGAATTTGGGTAGAGTAAACTGACTCCCCAATGGAAGGAGCTCATTCTCTGTACAGTGGTGTCATGATTGTAGCCCCGGCCCCTTAAGGGCGCTCTGGCTCTTTCACATTTGAGTTGATTTTGTGCACCTGCTCCCAGTTTCTGCCTCCCTACTTAAGCCAGACGCTCACTCTGTTCCGGGCTCTGCATTGGTTTCCAGTACCAGCCGAGTCCGAGACCTGGAGCTCCTGGTCCCATTCCCCCTTTTTCCCCCGAACCCTCTGCCAGATCCCGCTCCATTTTTTTACTTCATTTGTCTTCGCCTTGGATAGACCACCCAGCTCTGGACATTTGCCTTGTCAAGGATTTCCCTATGGACACTCTTTGGACTGTTTGCCTTGGACTCACCCCCCAGAACACCAGCGCACCATGGAGACACCCCCTGTTTTCCTTCCAGCCCCCTTGCATGCTTTTTTCTCCGTGTTTTCCTCACTTTTCCCCGGATTTTGTCGTCTGCATAAGGTCCTGAAAGAATGCTTTCATCACCAATGGGTGCCCATGGCTTGCCACACTATTTTTTTTAAATACTGTAGAGGTCTGACAGCTATAGCTGTTGTGCAATACGTTTCCTACAGTAGCTACCTTCCCTGTCCTGCTCAGTCTATTTTTATTGTTTGCTTTAAGGTTAGCAAACCCGGCTACCACAGTGCATGTTAGGTCAGATTCAATAAAGTTTTATAGATCAAAGCCATTGTGGTACTACACACTAATATAGCAGAAAGGTCTCAGGAAGAACAGTCACTGCTGGCTCTTTTTATATGTGGCATCTGTGTTTTCCTCAAAAGAGTTTGTAATCAACAATACTGCCAAGATATTTGCAGCTGTTGACAATTTCAATTTCTTGCTCCTCAGTGACTCTTGGCTTTGCAATGGGTGGTTGTTTTGATGATCATATCTTTTTATTTTGACACATTAAGTTGAAGGAAGGAGTTGTTACACCTTTCAACAAAATAGTCCACCATGGTATCTATGACTTGGAGGAAACTGACAATGACAGAGGCATCAGCAAACAAAAGCTGTTCTGATATAAAGCCATTAACCCTCACACTTTGTGATCTGTTGGTGAACTCATCAAAGATCCAACCTTCAATATTAAAATGTAATCTCTTTACTAACAAGTGCGGTTGAATGGTGTAAACGTTTGATGAGAAATCTATAATATAAGAGATTCAGTAATGTTAGGATAGCATCGTTGTCTCTTTTTTCTAGGTCTTCTAGGCAAATTGCATGGGATCCAGTAGGTGTTCTACCTGGTGAAGAACATGCCTTTAAACAATTTTCTCAAATTACTTCATTACTAAAGAGGTGAATGCCACTGGTCTGACATTTTGGGGGATTAGTGTTTTACAATTGGTATGATTGTTGCCCATTTTCAAATATTGGGTTCTTCCTGCCGATTTAGAGAGATTTTGAAAATATAATAAAATACAGAATATGGACTTATTTGTGTAATAGTGTAACAAGCCTGATCTTTAGATTACCGTTTAATACTCAGAATTAGAAGTATTATAGTGCGAGAGATGATACTGTATGTAGCAATAGTCGGGCCTTTAGCCCAGTGGCTTACAGCTTCATTCAATGCAGCTGTTTAAATAAGCACCATGATTCAGTGGTGGGGACAATGACAGAGTTTACA